AATAACTATTCGAAAATCGTCTCCGGAGAATTTCGGTACAAACTTATGTATATTTGAAGTCTAAACTATCAAATTTGACTTTCTTCTATTTTAGATAAAATTTTATCAAAATTGCATTCTTTATCGAACTTGTCTTACTTGAATATTTATGTCACATTGATACAATCACCACATATAACAACGGCACTATTTTCGATTCGTTCATTAAAACGCTTAATTCTATATTCATTCGATCCAATTCTATTACATTTTACTGATAATACTATTTGTCCATGGACGAAACTTGAATATTTAGAATTGAATGGTTGTTATATGACGGATTTCTTGAAGCTGCTCAAATATGTAGGTTCAAATGTAAAACGAATGGTAATTTCTATATTTTATAAACGTCGTGAGGATCCAGCGTCAATTGATCCAACAATTATCGATAATCTACTTTATGGTGATGGAGGAAGTCCTCAAATACCTGGTAAGACAGGCAACGATAATGTGAATCCATATCTGATTCAATCGAAATATAAACGATAGCATGCGAAAATCTTTCATTTCAGAAATCATGCAAATCTATGGACGAAGATCATAGGCATGAAAGTTATTTTACGAGTGACGCATAAATAATTATAATCTAAATATTTTCAATTTGTCTTCTGCTCTTTCCACTTTATTGGGCTAATCTTTTTTTTATCAAACGATTCCCTATTGAATTTTGGCTAATATCAAATATGTTCATGCCACACATAAAGATTACGTTCCCAGTTATCGAGGAAAATAGCAACAGTTTTGTGTGCTTTGAGCAATGAAAGCAAAAAAAAGTTTATGCCAAGCTGTCTGCAAATCGTAGCTATCCGATCATAACGACTAATTATCTTTCGTCAAAATAAATTGTCATCGTTCAGAAACTTAACAAATACTTATTATCATGCACGTGCACTTAATCCTAACTAAACTCTTTAAAATATAGATCTTTTTAAGGCCTACCCAATAGTTATTTCAATTATCCTCTGTCAAAAAATTTTAGTAAATCTTCATGGTGATGCCCTGCAAAATCTTTCATGCAATTGCACCACACGTTATTTTATTGTTCTAGATGTATTTTATAATACTCTGTTCACTTAGATATCAGTCATGAAAGCTAAGACTCTGCTTATTCTGAAAAATTTCCAGTTTTGTTCTTTTTTTAGTATCATTATATCGTCTTCATATGTATTTTAATTATTTATCATTAACGGATTTTCATCTCGTCCTAAAATTATTTCCCAATCTAAGACATTTAACATTTTCAACATCAACTTTCGATTTGAATTTTGCATCATCAACAATATGGCACGAATTTATTTCCAAAAATCTGCTCAAATTAGAAAAATTTCAATTCTATATACGGATTACCGGTAAGTAGTGTCTCGTTCAGTGTTTGTCAGTAATGATAAAACGTAACACTTATGTCGTTTGAGGTTCTGTTGTTCAACAATGTCCGTCACCTGAACTCGTTCATCTATTCAACGATGATCATAAGAAATGGATAGATGGTCCTGTTATTATGGATTATAATCATGTTTTAGAATCACCAATGTTAGAAGTTTATACCTATTCACAATTCGCACATAATGGAAAATCTTCTGTAGAATTATATGGAAAGGAAAGATATATTACAACAACAAATAATACAATTAGCATCGATAAAAATATAACAAGATTAAGAATTACATTAAATGATAATGTTGAACAACTAGTATCGACATATCAAAACAGGACAATTTATCCAAAAGTAACAATAATAATAATTCATTCACAAATGACAATAAAACCAAAAGAAAACGATCCAATAAGCAGGTATGATAAATAATTTATTCAAGGAACATTTTTTTTGCTTTTGTTCCAAACTTTATAGATTCTTACCAAAGAAAAATGACTATCAATTGAGATTGAATTTAACGATAAAACTTTCTATGTAATCCTTTTTCTTTAGTTTGATCTGTTCTGATCTGATAAAATCTATTCCTGATTTATCGAAAATTGCCGAGCTTCAATTTACCATAAATACACCGATGAATTTCAATTATCCATCACGAACATTAGTGCGTCGTCTTCTAAGTAAAATGCCCAAAATTCGTCGACTTGATCTACCCTATAACTATCTATTGGATTTGTTCAAATCACCACTAATCATTCAGATGTTAGCAAAACAGATTCATTCTATATCGATTCAATTTCACAATGATCCACCATTACTGCAAGATATAACTCAAATCTTGAATGCATTCTCAACGAATTTACATTTTCTATACATGAATGTTAATATGGCTTTTCCAGTCGATAATTTTTACGCTATTTTGCCATTAATATTCAATGGTACATGTATCAAATTGTATCATTTTGAATTGAGACTATCAAAAATACAACAAACATCACAATCATTTAGCACAGAATTTAAACTATGGTTGAAGAAACATCTGGCTATCTTGATCAATAATGATCAAAAAAGATTGACTACAATGGAATATAGTATTAAAGATCGAGAATTTCTTGTTTCTTTTTGAGTGAGACAAACATTTTATGTTATCTTTTCAAACCAGAAATATTCTCAGATAAACTGTTATTATGTTAAATTCGACTAAAACTCAGTCGATCGTGAGTCTTTTACAACCCATTCGGATACAGTTTCATTTGTACGTAAAACGAACGATCATGCGCATGTATGTGCGAGTTAGGTCACATGCAGATGACTGCGATCTATGAGGTTTTCTTTAAAAGACGTGTGATCATTGGTAGATGTGGATTGAAACAGCTGAACAGACGACCATTCACGTTATCAACATTGGTGGGAGACTGCGATCGAGTATCTTTTGCAGCGCACAACAATTTTATATCGATTGTTTTGAGGGAAGAAATGGTGAAAATCTTCTTCGTCGAATGCTTTCGGATTCGATCGGATGAATATTCACGAGTATCTTCAGCTTCCACATTCGTTCGAAAAATTGATGATCACTTGCCGATTGTGTGACACAATCAGTCAAATACATTTTATCATCGATTTATCCTTTTCTAGTTTTCTCGTAATGAATATTTAGATTTATATACATCAATGAAATTATAAAAAATAAATGAAATTGTGACTATAATTACTCTACAACACAAAAAAAGTTGATTGCAATAGAAGCCCAGTGGGCTTTTATTCTATGGGAGGAGAAGGTTAGCTGTGCCGGAACGTAGAAATGATTTAGTGACAGCGTTAAGTGCATTTAAATTGCGTTTGTTGATCCAATCAGCTAAGATGCGGCCCTTGGTATTCACCTGTAGACACCCCCAATCTGGACACTTTGCATGATGATGAATAAATACTTGCGACAATAAATTATTGACTATCGATTATAATTTGAGTTGCTATTATACTGAGTTCACTAATTTTATCAATTGAGATTTTAATGTTTTGTCTACTGCAAGTACAACACCACCATATGAATTCGTACTTTTTTTTAAATGAATGTCGTCAGAGAAGAGGAGTTGTTAGATTATTTTTTTCGAAACCATTGTACTAAGTTTATTGTTGCTAGAAATTTCATGTCCAACAACATTCTCGTAATATTTCAAATTCATTTTTGTTTTTGATAATCTGGAAGTTCATGTAAAAAAGATAATAATTTGTCTGTCAGCTCAATGAATTTGTACTTATTAAACTGTGAAGAAATTATATCTGCAATGGGATAATCGATGTAGTTGGCTGTCAATTGCTGGTTGCGAGTTTTCGATTGATGTTTATTGTTCAACAATATTTCATTGATTTTATTATTACATCTTTTTTGAAATCTTCATGTACAATAAGATAATAGCACAAAATTGTTTCAGGACATTCATAACTAATTAGGATCTATATGATACACTTTGTCCCGATAGAAAAGTGATTAATCAGTTGAATGACTTTCTTCGTTCGTAATTGTTGTAATTTTTATTCATAGTTAAAATGTTCTTAGCCGATCTATCTTTTTCATCAGTTGTGTGACAATGACGAGTTGTAAAGATGTTTCTAACGATTGATTATTAAATAGATGCATTAATAAACTGACTTTTCAAATAAAATTTACATAAAAATAATAGATGTTAATTAATACTTTTACCAGTAGAATTCTCTTGCAAAGTTCATCCGTCTTAGGTAAATATAAAATTTTAATCTTCAATTATCGAACTTGTAGCTGTTCGATGACTGAATATGAATTATATGATTTATGATATACTTAATATAACAAAAAAAAATTGCAAGACGTCTTCATATAGGTTACAATAAACTTTTATCTATATAAAAATTAATGCCATAAAGAAAATATTGAAAAATCAACAATATTTTTAATGAAATATTCTATGGTTTCAATTTCAAAAATAAATCAAACTAGAAAAACAATAATACAATATTCTTTTCAACCTACTACACAACTATAAAGACTATAACATCAGCGGTACAATTGAATTTTTTTTTTTTATCATTGTTGACATTGTATAACCAAACATGAATAAATAAAACAAAAAACTGAATTCTATCGGATATTTGTTTTCATTGTATGAATGTTGAGTTTTTTGGTTTTGTTCTTTAAGAACAAATTCAATGATATGCATGTTAGACATATTTCTTATAAAATATTATTTAAGAAATGTGAAGACCTGCAATTTCTGACTATGAAAATAAAAATAAATTCTTAAATTCATAATAAAAAAAAAATCTCTAGTGAAAGTAATTCTATTCGATTCACTTGATCAATCTGCAAGTCGAACATAGAATATTTCGAAAATTGAATTTATATCAATAGTATTTAAATAGATATAATAATTTGTAAGAATGATAACATCAACAGAAGTTGTACCAATATCATCAGGTTTTTCTCCAATTCGTTCACAACATAGTATTGTTGATGAACGACAATTTCAACCGTTTCAACAAGAAAAATATCAAGCATGGACCACAGAAAATTCTCAAGAACCTTTTATTTCAAAATCAACTATCATGTTAGATTTATCTTTTGTTCTTTTATAGATAATAAATAGAATTTTATTTTGTACTTCTTTTAGTGAAAGCAAATCCGATTCATTTAAAAAATATCTGACAACAAAGTGTATAATGTCATTTCTTATTGGCTTTATTATTTGTGGTATTCCATTAGCTGTTATGTCTGCTTTATATGGACAAAAAAGTAAATTTCATTTTATGTCTTATTATTATTATGATTATTTTTATGATTAAATTTAGAGACATCATCTAGTAGCAGTTCAGGTAGAACCAATCGATTAAAATTCTATATCTATTTAAGAATCAAATAAACTCTTTCTTTAGATTCTTCAAGTAGTTCTGTTAGTCTTCCATCACAATGTACATCATATATTGCTAATTCGGATTCAACACGTCTTACAACTTATACAAGTTGCCTTAATTGTTTTTATGATACCAGTTCAAGTTTTACAACAGGTTGGTATAGATTTATGAATACAGCTGGAACTCAATTAGCTACAACACCTCCCAGTTATGGATCATGTGGTGTTTCATATCCAGCTTGGTACAATGGTACTTTTCCATCAACTGCAGGTTCAACTGTAACAGGAACTGTTTGTGTACAATTGAGTGGAAATTTATGTCATTCTTCATATATTACAACGATTTCTGTAACAAATTGCAATGGTTATTATGTTTTTTATTTAATTCCAATGACTACTACCAATATACGATACTGTACAACATTTTAATTCAATTATAGTTTCATAAAAAAAAGAAAGAACAATTAATTTTCTTCATTTGAATTCTTCTTTTTTTTTCCAGTTTGATTTGCTTTTGCTTTATTTTATTTTAATAAATTTAATCAACAAACAATAATAATCACTGATTACATTCAAACAAACTTTCAATTTTCTATCATAATGGAAAAAAAACAGAACATGAGAACAATCAGAAGTTAAGAAAAAAACAAGACAAATTGTAAAAATAATCAATGAATTTTTTCATGTCGAAACAGAAATAAACATGAGAAGATTCAATAAAATATATTTTGACTTGGACTAAATATATTTAGATTATCATAGAAAAACAAACATCTACATTTAGAATATTTATTAATTCTTTACTTATAGAATATTGTTAACGAAGAAATATTTCTTTCATAATTTCAAATCGTATGCTAGTCAAACTGGAATAATAATAAGAAATTTCTTTCCTAGACAAAGATTCTCTTTATAACACACCAACATTCGACGTAATTGGAAGGAATGTTATTTTCGTCATTCGTACATTTTCTAGATCTATTGAATTTGGAATTGTGTTATTTCAAAGAAAATGAAAAATCAACAATGACTTATAAAAAGAAGTCTAAACATATATATATTTCGATAGATCGATTCAAAGTAATAGATAGAATAGAAACACATTTTTTCACATTCATAATTCAACTATCGAAAATTTCCACAATAGCATATTCTTTTGTGAATTAACAAAGAATGATTGACGATTACAATACAGGACGTCGAATAACTTCTTGGGATGCAATTGATCCTCCAAAATCCTTGGAAACATCACAATTAATGAGAGAAGCTCCTTCATTGTCCATGTCATCACATAATGCTCTCGTACCATATTCAAAATATACTGGTCGAGTTCATCCACAATATAGTATTGATCGACGACAAACACAACAAGTACAGTATCAAACAAAATCATCGAAATCATCACAACCAAATTCAACAGACATCGAAACAGGGTAAAAGAAAAAAATATTTATCATATGAATAAATAATTGATGTGTTTTATTTGAAATTAGATCAAAATGAGGCATAAAATCGATTAGCATAAATCATGTTCTTGGTTTTATTCTGG